ATTTTTGAAAACACATAAATTTTCAAAACACAATTTACACAAATAATTCATTTTAAAAAACACTAGCACTCCAAATAAATTAATTTCATGCGAGTTCTGGATAAATCCAGATCTATTTTCTTCTTTTATTTTTTGTCCATATTATTTAATGATATTATTAATCACATTAGATACAGCATGACCGGCTACTCCCGGTCACCCTCCTTCTTCCTCCCCGCCCTGCTGTATATAAACTCCGTAGTCCCTCACGGGCAGAAGCAGTGAAGCAAGGAAAAAATATCGTGTAGCCGTTTGTGTAGAGAAGAATCATCAAAGATGCCGATCACTCGCATAGCTATCGGATCACGGGAGGAGGCGTATCACCCCGGAGCTCTCAAGGCCGCCCTTGCAGAGTTCATATCGACCATCATCTTCATCTTCGCCGGCCAAGGCTCCGGCATAGCCTACGGTTTGCTCCTCTCCCTTCCCTTCCCTTTCCTCTCTCCCTTTCAAATCCTTCTTCTAACCTTCGCTTTTCGCATAAATGAACAAACTTTTTTCTTCTAATAACTTTTCCTCTGTTTTCTACCAGTAAAAAAACCTAATTTTTTTTCTACTTTTTGACAGCAAAGCTGACCCCCGGCGGCGCGGCGTCGCCGGCAGGACTTCTCACGGCGTCAATAGCACACGCCTTCGCACTATTCGTAGCAGTTTCCACAGCGGCGAACATCTCCGGCGGGCACGTTAACCCTGCGGTGACATTTGGCCTCTTTCTCGGCGGCAACATTACTCTGTTCCGCGGTCTGCTCTACTGGGTGGCCCAACTCCTCGGCTCCATCGTCGCCTGTCTCCTCCTCCGCGTCTCCACCGGTTTTCTCTCCGTCGGCTCTTTCGGCCTAACGGACGTCAGCGAGTGGAACGCCCTCGTGCTCGAAATCATCTTAACTTTCGGTCTGGTTTACACGGTCTACGCGACGGCGGTGGATCCGAAAAGAGGAAGCATAGGAACGATAGCTCCGCTGGCTATCGGCTTTATAGTGGGTGCTAATATACTGATCGGAGGGGCGTTTGACGGCGCGTCGATGAACCCGGCCGTGACGTTCGGACCTGCCGTTGTG